AAATGTGAAGGCTCTGCAGTTTGATGGTGTTATCTTGGCCCAGGCTTATATGTGTTCCTCTTGGTAGAATTTCAATTTCAGCCAGAGCTGATTCAGGGTATCTACAGCTGGGCCACTGCCTTGAGTTTGGTTTTATGGCAGGCTTTCCAAACATCTGCAAAGTTTTCACTTTTACTGTTGAATCATCATGTTCTTGCTGTACTCCCCCTAGTTCCACCATGGAGCTAAAATTCCTTAGCAAATCATCTCAACACTCCTGCTGTCTTCCAACTCTTTAAGCCTATTTCCAAAACTGTATAAATCTTCAACAATTCCTTTGAACTTAACTGCTTATTTGAGAAATCATTGTCGTGCCTTTTAAAACTTTTTTGAGTGGTTGTTTTTATTTGCAGTTGTAGGGAAGTTACAAAAGCATGGCTGGGAACTATCATCTCAGCTGGAATAATTTTTCTACCCTCAAAAAACTGCTTTGAACCCATAAGGCACCAAGTGGACTTAAACTATTTTCCATAAGAAAATCTCACAGTTCTGGTAAGAGGATAATCAAGAATTTTTACAAAGGTTTCTATTTCAGATATCCAATATTCACAACTAAACAAAAAGTTGGGGATTGTTCCTGTTTTTCATTTTTCAGAAGTGGGCAGAAGGAGAGGGAAGAAATGAGGTAATATGAACAGTTTTCTATTTACTTTCATCCTTACCTTCCCTCTAACATGTCCCAAATAGCCCACAGTTAACTGCTTATCTAAACCTCACCAGTCCCAAAGCAGGGGACAAATGACTGCTCAAGCTGTATTAATAGCTGTGGATAAAGAGACTTGTAGTTTGGCAGCCCTGTGCAGAGCTGAAATCCTTGGCTTGGGTCCAGCAAGAGAGGTTCACCTCTTCAAGCACTGCTGAAACAATTGATTTTATTTTACTGAGAGAGAAAATGAGTTAGACAGGTATAGCTGACTAAGATTTTCCATAGAACATTTTTCAAGCATTGCTGGTTTTCTTTCTTTAGAAACTGGAGACAAGGAGATGATGAACATGCCAAAGAAGGGCAATGAAGCTGGTGAAGGGTCCAGAGCACAAGTCTTATGAGGAGCAGCTGAGGGAACTGGGGTTGTTTAGCCTGGAGAAGAGGAGATTGAGGGGAAACCTTATCTCTCTGTACAACTACCTGAAAAGAGGCTGTAGCAAGGTGGGTGTCAGTCTCTTCTCCCAAGTAACAAGCGATAGGACAAGAGGAAATGGCCTCCAGTTGCACCAGGGGAGGTTTAGTTTGGACATTAGGAAGAATCTCTTCACTGAAAGGATTGTCAAGCATTGGAACAGGCTGCCCAAGGAAGTGGTTGAGTGACAATCCCTGGAAGTATTTAAAAGACGTGTAGATGTGGTGCTTAGGGACATGGTTTAGTGGTGGACTTGGCAGTGTTAGGTTTACGGTTGGACTTAATGATCTTAAGTATCTTTTCCAACATAAACGACTCTACAATTCTATGATTCTAGGGAAAATATTTTGCATTAAGCAAATCTTTAGGTCTATGTGAATAGGTTGACTAGAGATTGGGGTTTTTTTGCCTGGAGGTCTGGGAAAAGCTCTGTTCTTGCCCGCATGAAAGGCCTTATTGTCTCTCGCTGCAAATGCGCACACTATAGTTTTCTGTCATCCATACAACCTGTCAGGGCTTTCCCAGACCAAGCCACAATGGCAGAATCATTTAGCATTTTTGACCTGGCCTACCCAGAAGTCAAAGCCCTCCAGCAGTGGCAGGGAGCCTCAGACCCTCTCAGGTAAAGTTTTGATTCCTGCCCCTCTTCAGGAGGAAAACGGAGCTGAGACTGGAAACATTGGGAGGAGGTGGTGTCACTTAGCTCAGGCTAAGTGCATGAAGGCCCACCAGTTCTTGATGCTGAGATGACACTGTGAAGGGATCCTGACGGCAGCTCCTGACAGCTCATTTGTGCCATCTAAGTGTTCTGCCCACCCATTAAACATCATGACCCTTAGTGAAGTTAGTATTATCTTAGGAACATATTTCTGTGTATTGGGCATCTGTGCAGGGGTGCTGGCAGCAGGGGGGCTGCAGGGCAGTCTCTGTGAGGAGAAGCTGGGACTGCCTTGTGCTGGATACAGCCAGTTCCAGTTGGTTCCAGATGGCTCCAACAGACCCACCACAGGACACAGTTGAGCCCCTCAGCTAAGATGGTAGTGCTGCTGGGAAAGCATACTTAAGAAGCTGTCAAAAACACTGCGTGACAGCTGTGAGAGGGAGGACTAAAAAAACATGTGAGAGAAGCAGCCCTGCAGCCCCACAGGTCAGTGTGAAGGAGGGGGAGGAGGTGCTCCAGGTGCTGGAGCAGAAATTCCCCTGCAGTCCCAGGAGAAAACCACAGTGAGGCAGGCTGTCCCCCTGCAGCCCATGCAGGACCATGGTGGAACAGATATCCACACTGCTGCCTGTGGACAACCCCACACCAGAGCAAGTGGATGTGCCCTGAAGGAAGCTGCAGCCCTTGGAGAGCCCATGCTGGAGCAGGGACCTGGCAGGACCTGTGGAGAGAAGGCAATGCTGGAACAGTCTGTTCCTGATAGACTGTACCCTGTAGGAAAGACCTGTGCTGGAGCAATTTGTGAAGGACTGTCACTTGTGGGAGGGACACCATGCTGGAGCAGGGGAAGATTGTGAGGAGGAAGGAGCAGCAAAGACAAAGCATTATAAACTGACCAGAACCCCCATACCCCTACTCCCCCTTGCCCTGCATAGCTCAGGGGGAGGAGGTGGAGGAGTTAGGAGTACAACTGAACCTGGGAAAAAGGGGGGGTGGGAGCAAGGTGTTTTTATTTAATCTTGGTTTATTACTATCCTACTCTGTATTTAATTGACAGTGAATTATTTATTTAATAATTATTTAAGATAGTAAATTAAATCTGGTGCAGCACAGCTCTTCATTTGCATCATGCTGCTGATAACATCAGTTTCTGCTTACTCAATGCTCGGGAAGGTATCCGAGTCACCTTGCTGCACCCCAAACATCAGCTTAATGGAGGGGAATCTCTTGGAAGCACTCATCAGCCTGAGCTTGAGGAAGTGAGTTGAGGGCAACACGATTAGCTAGCATTTGGACAACAGAGACATGACCTCCCAGACTGCTGTCACCAGTTTCTGGAACCAGAGGGTGATTTTTGCCACATCCAGTTCTAGGAAGCCCAGGCTTTACTGTACATGGACAAGACCATTAAGGATGACCATTTGTGCAATAATGCGCAGATTTCACTGACACAGAAGCTGAATTCTTGCCCTGCCAGAAAAGTTGGGCCCCTTGCTCTGGTGCAAGTAGTGAGGAATGGAGATGGGAGCAAGGGCTTGGAGCTGGCATGAGATAGTTTCCAAGCTGGAAGGAAAAGGATTATTCTTTACCCAGGAGCATCCACCATCTAGGATAGGAAATGTGTAACAGCTCTGTGTTTCTATTTCCCTTCTTAGATGCTGAGCCCTGGAAGGACTTCAAAGACGAAGGAGATTTCCTCTGGGTTCCACAATGGAATGAGAGGGAGACAAAGGAAGGTTTCTTAGCTGAAGGGGGTAGATTTGTGGTTTCTGAGCTGAGGACTTGATATGCAGGAAATGGGAGACATCAGAATTGTCTCAGCTGGGAGTAGGAAGGTTTATCTGCATGCAAGGGACCATGGCACCAGTGATGAGTGAGTGAGGTAGGGAAAGTTTTTTCTGTTGAGGATACCACAGCTGCCTGTTTGGCCTGGGTCATTTTGTAAACATGGCCCACTTACGCTTGTCTCCAACTGTCTGTTTGTAAGTGAAGAATAACTTCATGTAATATTTATGGGATAGACAAGTGGACAGTGAGGTAGACAGAGAAGGGGCTGAAGGATAGAGCTTGAAGTGTTGTGATCAGTGGCGCTGAGTCCGGCTGGAGGCCTGTGGGTGGTGGTGTTCCCCTGGGGTCAGTACTGGGTCCAGTCTTATTCAACATATTCGTCAATGACTTGGATGAAGGGACAGAGTGCACTCTCAGCAAGTTTGCTGATGACACAAAACTGGGAGGAGTAGCTGGTACACCAGAGGGCTGTGCTGCCATTCAGCGAGACCTGGACAGGCTGGAGAGTTGGGTGGAGAGGAATGTAATGAGGTTCAATAAGGGCAAGTGGAGGGTCCTGCAGCTGGGTGGGAATAACCCTATGCACCAGCACAGGCTCGGGGTCAATCTGCTGGAGAGCAGCTCTGCAGAGAAGGACCTGGGAGTTCTGGTAGACAACAAGTTGACCATGAGCCAGCAATGTGCCCTTGTGGCCAAGAAGGCCAATGGCATCCTGGGGTACATTAAGAAGAGTGTGGCCAGCAGGTCGAGTGAGGTTCTCCTCCCGCTCTACTCAGCCCTGGTGAGGCCACATCTTGAGTACTGTGTCAAGTTCTGGGTTCCCCAGTTCAAGAAAGACAGGGAACTACTGGAGAAAGTCCAATGGATTGCTGTGAAGATGATTAGGGGACTGAAGCATCTCTCCTATGAGGAAAGGCTGAGAGACCTGGGGCTCTTTCACCTGGACAAGACTGAGAGGGAACCTTATCAATGCTTATAAATATCTAAAGGATGGGTGTCAAGAGGATGGGGCCGGGCTCTTTTCAGTGGTGCCCAGTGACAGGACAAGGGGCAGTTGACAAAAACTGGAGCACAGGAAGTTCCCCCTGAACGTGAGGAAAAACTCCTTTGAGTGTGGCAGAGCACTGGAACAGGCTGCCCAGAGAGGCTGTGGAGTCTCCTTCTCTGGAGATATTCAAAACCCACCTGGACGGTGTACTGTGTGACCTGCTCTAGGCGAAGCTGCTTTAGCAGAGGGGTTGGTCTAGATGATCTCCAGAGGTCCCTTCCAACCGCTACCATTCTGTGATTCTGTGATTGTTAATTAGGGATCAATTTTAGTCCCTTTTTGCAAAGAAGTCCCTGGGATGTGGAGAAGCTCTCCTCTCCGCACTGGGGAGTACAAGTGCTCTGGCCTAGTCTTCCTTGGCAGTTGGGTTCACAATTTTCCCCATGAAGAGGATGCTATGGGTGGTTTTGTCAGCAATCATCATCAGGAAGGGCCTGTTGAATCTGATGTGAGGTGGAGGAGGAAACTGTGCAGACAGTGGTACCATTTCTATCACAGTCAATGCAGCAGCCTCTGTGCCGTTCTCACTAACATCCACCATGGCCTTGTGAATTGCCTGCAAGGGAAGCAAATATTAAAATCTAGGTATAGAAGAGTGAAAAGCAACTGGGGACAAACCTGCTTGCTTTAACATTGTGAGAAGGTAGTTTTTAAAAGAAAGCACAGAAGGAATGTAGAACTGGTGTGAAAAAGATACTCATGTCCAGCCTTTCCAAGACAAGCAGAGTTTGCTCTGAGTTCAGGGGGAGTTTTCTTCAACACTCTGGCAGAGTCAAACTTGGCTGCTTGCAGACACTGAGCAGCCTAGAGAACATTTATTATTATGTTATTTCACAGACATAAGATTTTGTCCTTAATATTTAACACAGAAGAAGAAGGTTTTAATTTTGCATCAATTTCTGTGTATGCAAAAAAATTCTTTCTGCAAAGACATGATAATGACAAGATTTATAAGGTATCTTTCTGTAACACATGCCACTGATATGACTTGACTTCACAGGGCTTTCTATAGTAGGTATAGCAAATTTGTATTTCTAAATTCACTTGATCTTATTTCACAGTCTTTGGTCAGCCCTCTGTGTTTTTTCTTCATTGTCCATAAAGCATCTGAAAATTCCTCTCACGAGGTCCTGCTGCCCTTCCTCTATTCACTTGTCCTATGTCTGTAATCTGGTCATTTACACATGTAATAATTCAGTGTGAGGAATCACAAAATCATTAAATAATATAGGTTGGAAGGACCTCTAGAGGTCATCCAATGCAACCAACTACCCTAAACTGAGTCAACTCTGACACAAGATAGGGTTACTCAGGTTCTTATTCAGTTAGGATTTGAGTATTTCTAAGAATGGAAATTTCATAGCTTTTCTAGGTAACCTGTCCAAGTTTTGATCACCCTCATGTTGTATTTTTTTTTTTAAAGTATCTGATGAGAATTTCCATTTTCTGTCTTGTGTGCATTGCCTTTTGTCCTGTTACTGTGCACCTGCAAGAAGAGCCTGGGTCCATCTTCTCTGCACCCTCCTAACTGGTATCTGTAGATAGCACTAAGAACCTCCCTTCACCTTCCCTTCTCCTGGCTGAACAACTCCAGGTCTCCCAGGCTTTCATCCTACATCCCATGCTCCAGCAACGCAACCATCCTGCTCACCCTCCACTCAACTTGTCCTGCTGCTATATGTTCACATCTCCCTTGCACTAGGGAGCCCCAGACTGGATGCAATACTCCAGAGGTGGTCTCACAAGTGTAGAATAAACGGAAGGATCATTTCCCTCATGACACAAGGCATATACTACCTGGGACACTGGGGAAATCACTTTATTTGTCTGTGTGCCAGTTTCTTGTTTGTGAAATGGGGATATCCCCATCCTACAAGTCTGTTGTCCATATAGATTCTGAGGTGCTCAGATAATGCAGTAGTGAAAGGTGTATACATAGGGTAAGAATGACTACTCCCAAACTTATGTCATAATCGTGACTCTTGTCATGCATTAATTTATACCAGCTCTTCATGAAATTATTCCTATTATTCCTTCCAGATCTGTTTTCTTCTTCAGAGACTCTCAAGTGAATTTGCAGGATCGCTATGCAGTAAACTTTAATTTTAATATTTATTTAATATTAAACTGTAGGAACGATGGCCATTTATTCCCTAACTTTCTCCTACCTTTATTACTAGCAGTGAGCCATGACTACACTCCAGAAGTGGGATTAGCCGATTTGCAAAGCTAAAACCCACATGCAAGTGAGGCAGATGAATCTCTTGATTACCATCTCTTCGCATACTTACTTTGGAAACCTTCAGAAGAGTTTTTTCTGCAACTCCAGAGAGATCAGCCTGGTCACTGAACACCTCTGTCACACCCATTTTCTTGAACAGGCTCTTAAGGAGCCAGAGATGGAGAATTTTGGAAGGTCCAGGTAGATTTTTCTTTTCAAAAATAAATGAAAAATGTCAGTTTATTATTGCAAGATCCCTCGATGCAATAGCTGTTGCAGGTATACACCTATCCTAAATACCCGTAGAGCTAAGGCTTTCTAAGACAGTGATAAGTCCCATGTTAGAGAAACAGAAGTTGAAGTACCTGTCCCACCAGCCACAGTCTGGTCAATAGTGCAGGGCCACAGTGCTGGTTTATGAATGTAACTGGCTGGAATGTATCATCCAGACTGGAGAAAAAGAAATTGCATTTTCTTTTGAACTGGATTCTTCCTACTCAAGGCAGGCTGCTGAGGGCAATGTACTCATGTGCAGGATGCTCACAGCTGGTAGCACTCCCACTGCTGTGACTGGGGGAGCTCAGGATAGGGTTCCCCTTATGTGCAAAATTGCCTGATACCTTGTCTAATGTAAAGAAATTATGCAACGCTTGTTCCTCACAGCTGTGTTTAGCACCTTATTGTGGCAGCGTAAGTTTTACTTTGCCTAGACAAGTAGTTATGGCTTTTTCAATATTTAAACAAAGCAACAGTTAAAATATTACCTTTTTTCAAGTGATTGCATCCAGTTAGACACTGTTTCTCTTAGCAGAGCATTCTCCACCTGCTGCATTGTGCCTTCATCAGGCAGAACAAACAATGCAGCAGCATTTCCTTTGTATGGGATTTCTACTATCCAGCAAGACAACTTCTCATCTCTATGGATATTAAAGGCTTTGTTTTGATGCATCATTTTGACCTTCACAGAATTCTTGTCACCCAAAAAGAAGTCATTGTCTCTGGTGGCCAATTTGTTGAAAGATTTTTCCCGGTAGCCTTCAACAAAAGAATGAATATGGAATGGAATAAACTGAAAAAGACCAATAAAGGCATGTCACATTAGTTGATGCTTAAAATAGGGTATCTGAACTTTAAAGGCAATAACAAGTTTATCTCAGTTTAAGGATGCTTGTTCCTTGGCCATGAAAAGAAGCTTTCCATCATTTCAATGGGTCTAATAAAGAAAAATATAGGCTGAGGATTGCTGTGGAAAAGACCTGAGCCTTTGCCTACTAAGGCAATGGTAAAACTTCCATAGACTTCCACTATACAGATTTCAGGCTTATTCCTTTCATACAAGTATCATCCATGTTTGACCATGTCCTGCACAGCCAAACACCTGTGCCTTTCAATAAATGATTGTAAGTTCCCAAGCTCCTCCCTTCTGAATATTTTCAGCTATGAACCTGGCTTAAAATTGATAAAACATTGATCAGTACTTCTATGGGTTCTTTTTTTTTTCCTTTTTTTTTTTTTTTTTGATCATATGGAAAATGATTCTTCATACTTGACTTTCAACTATTTCCTTACGTCATTTAAAAGTAGAAAGACATATTTTAAATCAGATGGTAGAATAGGTTCACAGTGTGAAAAAAGTTATGTCTCTTAGATCTGAATAAGACTTTTGGAGCTTATGTGTATAACTGCTATCCATGTTTGCCACTCACCTTTAAAGAAAATGTAGTTAACCAGAACCATCACAGTGTCTGAATCAAGATCCCTGAGTAAGCCAGTAATTTTCTCATGTGTTTTTGTTTCTATGTAGTTATTGATTTCCTTTATAGCCTCTGAAGAATTCTGGAAGTTACTAGAAATAGCTTCAGAATGATAAAAATTTGTGACATCATCCAAAAATTTTTGAAGCAGTTTCAGTTGATCATCTATGAACAAGGCATTGCCCATGCTCAACTGGACTTCTCGGTGAGCGTCGTTTAGCAGCTGGAGGACATGCTGAAATCCCTCATGAATCTCCTGCTCCTCCACCTCTGTCAGGTTGAAGGCAAGGCCTTTGTGCAGCTGTCTGAGTGTGTTTGATCTGGCCCCCAGGGAGAGCATTGCAAAGGCAGTGGAGATGCTCAAAGGAGAGAAGAAAATGTTTGTGTTGCCCACCTCCTCTCTGACCTGCTTGTAAAACTTAAATGCAAAGTCAGCGTTGCTGGGGGCTATCTTGACATGAGACAAGTTTTCACTAGCGGCCTGGGAGTGGTCTTCTGGGGAATGGAGTATTTTTTGTTCCTGCTGTTCATCATTGAGGTTGGACCTATGTTGACCCTGGGCTTGAAGTCCAAGAAGTAACAAACACAAATACAACGCAGACTTCATTTTCCTTCTGTTAAGAAAAATAGAACAACTTTTAGATCTGGAGAATTTTATCTTCCCTGCATAAAAATAGTTTTCATATTCTAGATATGGATTTTCAGATGTCAGTCTTTAGGATTACTGCTCTATTTGGAAATACTGTTCTACCTCACCTCCTGGATTGTCTGTTTCTAGGCAGTTCTCAGTTTCTGACCAATGAGCAAAGGAAGGAAGATATTAATTTGGCATCACCAGGGAAGAATTGATGTTGTATAAGCTTTTGTGAGGTATTAGGCCTGCAATAGTTCTTGCCTCTGACCAGCGTGGCCTCATTGCACTTCTAAGTGTCTTTGGGTGCATGGCTGAGTTCACGTATTGGCCCCCATGTACTTGGTAAATACTTTGGCAGAGGGACCAACTTCTGCTGATATGTCTCTGTAGTACTCATGGTCTTCTTATGATTTGGGTTTTCAAGCACTGCAGTGATACAGAGATAATGTCAGTTATAGCTGTGAATAAAATCAATCTAAACACTCTCCCCTTGAACTGTTTATATCTTTCTGCCTCTTGTGTAGCAGATCTGAACTCAAGAACTGTATTATTTCAAAACATTACCTTAAATGTTCCTGCAAATTGAGGATAAATCAAAAAAGTTTAATGACTCCCTCTACTGTACTAAACTATCTATGAGGTTGCAAAGCACAAGACACAAGAGCTTAGGAAAAGCTATAGTGGAATCTGCCTTGCTATGTATGCACAAGTCCATGACCTTTCCTCTTCCTTTAACTGACATAAGCAAATTCTACATAATCCCACAGTCTTTTTTTCTGCCCTTTTCAGGGGAAGAACCATGAAATATACTGGAGAAGAATGTTCGTCATAAGGTGCCTCACCTGAATTATTTCAAATGACAGAAACTCAAAAACATGAAGTAGGCAGTGGACTGTGGGAAAATAGAGACGATCTGAATGTTGTTTATAGCAGCTGCGTACTTATTTTGGAGCATGGGCTTCTGCCCCAGGGTCTGCCTCAGGCTGTGTCTAGTGCCAGTTTTAGGTCTTATGTCAAACTTCCCATGGGGAGTTGTTAATTCTGGGTTCCCCCTTTTCTGGCTGCCCACTATGAAATACTGGAGATAGAACCTGTGGAAGCGCTGAGTGCAGGACCTGTGCTCATCATGTCTAAAATGCTGTATAAAAACATTAACTCTGAAAAAAAAGAGACATTCTAAATGGAGATAATTTATTTTGTTCTGGTAAGTTTACAAAATTCCCCAAATCTGCTTTTGAGAGAGACTAATTTCTCTTTCAGGCAACCTAGCTGCAAGTAGCTGGGTCTCTAAGCACACTGGAGGTAAAGGGATGCTACTCTCGTTAGCTCTGCATCATCCTGGAGCAGTCAGGATATTGAGATAGTGAATAAATATACTCCTCTGGGAGCAGAGACAAGGTTTTGTTCTTCACCTTGGAACTGGCTGCTGAGTACTAATCTCCCAGTCATCCTGCCACTATAGCTTGGAGCTGGATCACCGACTGAGTCCTGCTTCCAACATTTAGAAGCTAAAATAATTTCCAATTACTGTACAAAACAAATTCATCTCAGCATTAAACATTATGTAATAAATGACAGATCACAGACAACATGCATTCAAAGACTTCTAAGAAAGTGTAATGTACTTACAGTGCTGGACCTCTCTTTCACAGTGCTTCTTCCTTATTCTTCATTTTGCTGGGTAGTATTAAGTTAATGTCCACTGGTAAATATTAAACAGAGCAAATAAGATTTATTTGCAAAGCAAAGACTGAGTAAGCTATTTTTTTCTGGACAGCAGACATTAGAAGTCTATCTTCCTGTCATACACACAGAATGATGCCAGCACCTAGGGCTCTGAGGGGAGAGAAAGAGCAGGGACCTTGCTACTCCTGGGCTTGAACTAAACTGTGGGCAAAAGAGCTTTACAGGGTAGTCTTGCATAACCTGTGTAAATGAGCTTTAAAAAATAGACTTTTAGAAGACCTGGAAACTTAAGATAGGACCAAAGCAATGTCTGTTTATAAAAAGGATACTGTGTCTCACTGAACTCTCTGCATGGGATATCCTAACACAAGGATACCATCTAATGGAGCAGCAAGTTTTCTCAGGAATAGCTCAGTATCTCCGTGTTGCCGTGCAGTGCACACTGCAGGTATGCCGTAACTGGCATTATTTAAATGGCTTATTAAATTATTAGATGAAGGATAGTCAGGGGCAATGGTTAGCTTTTTGGGAGGCCTTTAATGATTATTTTAGAAACTGCTAAAGTGAGAAGCAGAGTATTAATATGGCTTGAAAAACAGCCAAAATAAGAAAACAAATGGAAGAATGAAATGGGCAATCTTTATCATGGCAAAATGTTAGCTGGGGAGAAAAGAGTAGATCTTCTTAACCCCTTGCTATATACACGTAGGATAGGCACGATTTATAAACATACTATATGCAACTTACGCTGAGATCCCTCTCAGAGGGAGCTGAGAGAAATAGGCACAATTTAGCTATTTAGAAGGTTGTTTAAGGATGAGATGCATGGCACTCATCCTAACTAGTAATGACTAATTGTTTCCATTGAATGTACAGTATTTCACCCCACGTAAATCTACAATTTATCCACATATAGGAATCTACCAACCATAATTATAGTTATGTAACTACTACCTCTTACAAAATAGAGGCAAAATTGGTCACAATGTATTTCTACAGAGGTTTTTTTTCATGATATGTGCAAGTACCCAGAAAGTTTATTGAAGTATTATGTAAGATGACCAAGGTTCAGTAGTAGCAAATATGCTGTTGCTTAACTCTAGCAAAGACAAGCTATTTTTCTCAAGTCTGGGCCTGCCTACATAGATAGCATGAATCTTTCAGCCTAGCCCTAATGCTTGGCTAACCTTCTGAAGGAAGTTCCTGTTTTCAGGGAGGAACTGCTGGGAACAGCAGAGCTTCTGCAGCGATTCCTCTATTTTCTCCCAGGACATGCAGCAACACTCAGTGTGTCAGGGAGAGAGTGAAAATTTGCTGCTGTCTCTGCTCACCACTCCCAGGCACCAGCTCCTCTGACACTGGCTGAAGTCTTTTCATAAGCAAGGTTAAGACCAGCAGTAACATCAGACCCACAAATGACCATTTTTCTCCACAAACTTCAAAACAACCACCTTCTCAGAAATTCCAGATAGATCAGCATGGATAGTGAATGCATCAGTCACACCTAGCCCTCTGAGTATCTCCCTTAGGTCATAGGTGACAGAAACAGTGGCTCTTGGAAAACACGAGTCTCTCCGGTTAAATGCAATGGAAAATGAGGGTGAATCACCACACATGGGTATCACTGGCAGATCTGCCAGATGGCAGTGTCTGTGAGAACGCAGGGAGGTGAAAGTGGTTTGTTACTTCCCTGCACATTCCTGTGGTGCAAATGGCTGTGTCCCCAGAACAGATGTCACTGGGAAATGTGAGACTAAACTGGAAAGTTTGTGCAGTTTTGCAGGAAGGAGATCCATCCAGGGGAATTTCACAGGGGAGGATACAGAGCTCCTGAATGCTTCTAGATAAGCAGTGACTGGGACAAAGGCTGCTCCACGAGATGGGGGAGTCACATAAAGGACTGAGAGATGTGCTTTTCCCACTGGCCTGATAGTGGTCTATATGTAAGGAATTAAGGAATAGTTTTGTTCTTTTTTTTGCCAGTGACTCTGCTCAGTTATGCAATATGTCTTGGTTCCTTCTTACAGGTGGAGTTTCATCCCATATCATTAACTTACTCCTGTTGCTGCTTGGTCGTCAGATTATTATATGACAGCTTTGCAAATTATATTTCCGACTTTTCTAGGGCAAAGGATTTCTTGCTGTGGAAACAAAACATCAGCAAGATGATGAGGATTAAGCAAGAGAAGTGTGCACTTTGAGTGATAAATCTTCATGCACCCATTTCTTGTTGCCTTATAAAGATGTATCACTCAAGGTCTGTCTGCGAAAGTTCATATAAATAAACTTCTTGACATAAGTAACTGCATTAAAATCAGGAGACTGGTATCATTGAAAAGTTGTTGTAACTAAAATAAAAGTCAAGTCCTCTCTGTATTTTTAACCGTTTCTGTAAAGTGCATCCCAAATATGATTTCCATGTCTGACAAATATTCATCGCTTTCTACTTAAACAAGGAAAATTCTTCACTCCATTTCAAAAAACAGCATGACAGAAAGAATGAAAAAATCTGAAGGCTAAGCAAAAAGGCTGTGACAGAACTGGGAATAGAAACTAGATTTTTTCTGCTTTGTTTTCAGCTTCTTTCACCAATGCAATAGGAAACTATGAACTGAAATTTCATATGAACTCTTAGTTTGCTAGATGAAAGCTGTATAAACAGAATCAAATAATCTTATTCTTTTCTTCTGCGTTATATCTCAAAAGGAAATAAAGTTCTTTTATTACCAGGGTGTGATTCCATTTCTCATAACAGACATTTCACTTCAGATGATCACTTTCATCAGTTTGCAGAAAACAGTATTTTAAGTTTTCTGCCTTGTCTGTACCTGATCTTCTAGCACTGAAAGAAAATGTGTTTCCAAGAGAATACAAACGTTTGAGGCCTGATGTGAATTCCATTGGAGTCAATAATTTTGACCAGCATTTTAATGTTCAAGATGGGTAATCTCTCACTGAGAGCTCATCTCAGGTTTTACTTACATATTTTCCATAAAGTTCCCAGATGAAGACATTGGAATTGTAGACCTGCTTGATGCTGCCAAGGCTTTTCAAAACTAGTTGTTAAAAGTTTTTTAAAAATCACTAGAACAAAAGAGGGGAAAAAAATAAGTAATAGATAGACTGCAAGACCAAAATTTTGCTCTCAAAGTAAATCGTAGCTTGAACTTCTTTTTCCAAAAGATATCTCAAACTCAAGTAGTTAAGACTACAGACCAAACCTCTTAATTAAGTATAATGGTACAAGAACTTAGAGATGGCATGTATAACTCCCAGAATTAAAATAA